GTCGTGTAGTAGGTGAAATTACTAAAACCAAAATAGATTGCTTGAATGCTGCATCTTTGAAGTCAGGAAGTAGGTACAGATCCACGTTTCTTTTTCCCAAACTGAAAAGGAGCTAGGCACTTAAGACCCTGTGATCTTGGTCTATACTGGTGGCTCAGGGAGGCATCATGAAACATGGTCTCTGGCAGGGGCATTATAGGCATAATTTTACTACCAGGTCAAATAAGTGTCCTGGGTTCAGTTGTAGTAGTTATTTTCCTCCTTCCTAGGAGCTTAACCACAACAGTAAGTTATTGCCAGCTATGGGGTGGTGTTGATGGGTATCCTGAGTGAATCTGAGATTGGAGCATCTTGCCTCCTGGAAGCTAAAAGCACCTCTGTTTCCAGTTCAGAGTTGGGGAAGAAGTTTATTTTTGTAAGTACCCAAATCTCTTAAGCTTTTTGCTTAACCTTCTTATTTAAAATGTAAATGTTTTTCATCCAAACTCAGAGGTACTTGGTAGCAATTATATAAATAATTGTATTAGAAGCTGAAATTATCAGTTTTATTGCTAATTGCAAACATCCAGACTCAGGTGTTTTATGAGCTGAAGATGGTGTTATCTTGTAAACAGGAAATGAACTTAATTCACTTTTGCTTATGCTACTTCTGAGGCCTGAGTCACATTGGTACCCAGGCTTAGGCAAGGCCTTTCTGAGATCCTTTTGAGTCTTCTTACTGTCTTTTTGAGGCAAAGAAATCGCTCGTGAATGTTTTTCTGTGTGTATTTGCCTCCCAATATCTTGTTGCTGTTTTAATACACAGCAATTCTCTGTGATGTATCCTAGCTTTGTTTTGGGAAGGCAGAAGAGTTGCCTCGTTCTTCTGGTGAAACCAGTTCCTGCTATTTACATATGTAGCTGATCTTGACAACAGAACTGCTGCCTTTCTGAAGCACCACCACCCAGCTAGGTGGACAAAGACAACTGCTTAATCCTAGTGAACAGCTGTGGCTGGCAAAATGACTGTAAATATAGCCCCGTTGTATTCAATTATCTCTCAGGCTTTCAGATTTAAATATGAGTAATTAAAATGCCTTGAAATGCATTTTTCTGTTTCTTCTCTTGGCTTCCTCAGTAGGGCTGTGCTGGGAGAGGGATCTCTCTTTCTGCTGTCGAGTGAGTCATTAGCTCTGCATTCAGCCAAGTGCCCAAGGGGATCTGACTTGCAGGAGGCTGGGCCTTCAGTGGATGAGGAGGATGCACCATAGAGCCACCTGCCTCTTCTATAGCTCCGAAAACCCTGTGTGTGTTGTGACTGCTTCTAGGGATACAGTCTTGCAGCTGGGGATGGGTGGGTGGTGCCATGCAGCAAAGAGGGGCTCCACAGCCCCTCAGTAGTGCAGTGGCTCGTGGTCTGTCCAGCCTGCCGTTTCCTTTGTAGTAGTCCTCCTTGCTTCTGGAACAGCTCTCTACACAAACAGCAGTCAGAGCCTGACTTCATGTACGTACTTGCAGAAATGCAGCTGACAGGTCCTAGGTAAGGTACATGGAAAGGGACAGACAGCACGAAGACAGCAGAATAGGTGCATGCCTGCTGTTTCCCCTTCAGAGCAGGTAGAGAGGTCTGATTGGCATGCAAAGCCCTATATTCCTTGCCTCAAAGTGTCTGCTCCATGCTTACAAAGAACTGAGCTCTGGGAAGCTGAGGGGGGAGGTGGTAGTGTACTCATTTTGAGATCTTCCTGTCCTGCCCTGGAGCTCAGACTGAGGAGGTCTCTTAGTAAGGGCTGGATTTTTAAAGTGATCAATAGCCAAGTCATGTGTGAGAGTAGACTTGGGTCCGTGTCGAGCTGCCAGGTGTGCATGCACTCTATCTTTAACACTGGTGTGTGGGCTGTAGCCCTCAGTGATATAGATAGGAGTGCTGGGTGGTGAAGTGCTCCTTTCCAAGCTGGTGTTTCCCTGGTGATAGTACTTTCCACTGCTGTCCCCTTTGGGACTTCTGTGAACTTGAAGTAATCTATGCTACTGCAGTCTGCCTCCCAAATCCATTCAAGATGGTACTGATTTTTAGATTGGATCTGGGCAGGCTTTATGCCACCCCCACCTCTTAAGTTTTCTTTGTCCACTTGTTGCAGCGTTTGTGTCTATGTTCCACAAGGCCAGCGTGTTTCAGCCTGATTTCCAAGCTGGCATGCAAGCAAAGGCTGGCAGAACACTAGCTAGCTCTGCTGGATGGTGTCCAGCACTGACTCTGAGTGAGTGGGTGAGAGAAGGGAGAGCCGTAGAGGCTGCTGGAGTGTTGGCCAGGGATTTGCATGGGTTGGAACAGGCTGCAGGCAGCTAGAGGAGGAGGTGTGTGTAGGGGGTGTGTGTCTTCTGACTTTACATTAGCTTCATGCCTCAGTCAGTTTTATTTCTGAAATGAAGCATATGCTTTGCTCCTCACTGTACATGTCAAACTTGAGATTTTTATATCCAAATCAGAGTTGTTATGAAAGTACATAGGCTTCACCATTTAAAAATGCTTTAGAATGCTTATTTGGAGAAAGTAAGTACTGAATATTATAAAGCAATTGCTTCATAAGCAGAGGATGTTCTCAATCCAAACTATTTTCTGCTTTTCAGGGGAAAGTCTATAAAACTACTAATGACAAGAGGCTTTCTTGTCACTGATAAGAAAGTCATCAGCTTGTTTCCCAAGGACCTTGTTGGAATAGCTTAAGCTGAACCCTATTTCAACAAAATGAAATGGCTTGTGAAATTGAGCTAATTTCAGTGGGATCTTAAAGGAGAAACTTGGGAGAGTTCCTCACAAGTTCTAAACTGAAATATTTTGTTACAAAATTGTTCTATGTCTTTTCCACTGTTTGTTTTTTCTAAAGAACAAAAAAAAATTCTACCTCTGACTTCAACCGGCTGTGCAACTTAAAGTTCGCTAAGAAATAGTTCAACTTTTTAAACATTAGGTCTTTGAGTTTCCTTTCTGCTTGTAAAGGAAGGCAAATTTAAAAGTTCTTCACAGAAAAGATACTTTTGTTCTATTTCTAATTATGTAACCTGATGTTGACAGCATAGTTCCCAGTATTTCATATGATGCTAAACCATGACACTAAATTTTCCTGTCTGTCAAAATCATAATTGTGACAACTTGGTGGATTTTGTAGGCTGTTTCCCAAGCTGTGCACCAACATGATTTGATACTGTACTTATAGGCAAAGCTCAAGGATGAGACTTTCCTTCCTGCTTTTGGAAGCACAAGGTAGCTGGTGAGGTGCAGATGACCAAGCCTTTTGTGAGCAGGATTCCAGTTCAGCTGAGTTCATGTCACACATGGGATAAACAGTTGTGATACAGGCACCCCGGGTCAGCAGTTGACCAGAACTTTTGAGAAAAGCACGGCCTTGCCACGTGTCGGGTCAGTGATGGCTTGATGAGACTGATAACCAAATTGGACCTGGTGTGGGCTGGGCTACTCTTGAAGTGCTGTGGGGTGAACTAGACCCAGACTTTGAAATAAATAGGAGCAGTCTACATTTCTGGAGTACCAAATTCAGTCAGTTTCATGACACTGGGTGCCACATATTTTGTAAGTGGGCATCCAGTATTTCAGAAGTTCTCAATGATGAAATAGTTTTCAGAAGCTTCTTCCTACATGGATTTTTGAAAGCTATCAGTGCTAGGGGTAAATAATAGCCTGTCTGATATTTTTAGTATACCTGCCTGTGCAGAACTAGTTAATAGTAACACTCATTTTTGGGGACTAGGGACTCTCTTTAGCCTTCGTTATTGGATCTCATGGGATTTAAGGAGAACAAAACAAAACAACCAACCCCACAAAAACAAACGCACAAGCAAACAAAACCCTAGAAAATCCAGTAGCTTGAGTATGTGCTTGTGCCCTGAAGTTTTAATATCCCTTCCTTGAAGTTTTACATGTTGTATTTCTAATAGAATAAAGACATAGTTGCACCAAAATCGTTACTGGAGGCTGCTCTGCCTGTACACAGATGCCACTGAAGGAGAACTGCTGCTGGTTTGTTTTCTGTTCAGTAATTACAAAGTGTTAAAATCTGTTTCTCCTTCAGCCTCTGCAAATAAGAGGGGGGCTGGGCCACAGAAGGGGCCATAATGACCCTGGTGCACAGCCCTGTGCCAGCCAGTGGCCCACTGGAAGAGTGCCCTGTGCTTATGAGACTCCCCTCGCCAGAGAAGTTAAGGGTGAATGAAGAAGAGCATATAATGAATGTAAGTAAAATAGTCATGGCTCCTTAAACTCTTTCCCCTCCCCTTG